AAACTCGATGGTTCTCTTGCGGGTGAAAAAGATCTTCCGAGGGGCTTGGTGGGGTGCCTACTGGTTTATCTGCCTATGATAACTGGGTGTTTGTACATAGCTTCCTTGAAGTTGTTCGTTGGATCCCGTGCTTCGTTTGTTTCCTGTCCAGTGCCCGTCGCACCTGGAAGAGAAAACAAGAACGCTAGGAATTATATCGAGGAAAATCTACCAAATCAGCTTTTTTGTTTTAAAAAAAATGATTTGCATTTACTATACAGTAAAATAATGCTAAGTTCAGAACACCGAAAAAAATACATCCAGTTAAAATTTTTTTGTGCCTGTGACACGCACTGTTGAAAAAAATTTAGTTGTGTTTAGTGATACTGCAAAAAAAAATTGATACGTCTAAAAAATAGTTAGTACCTCAAACGAATGAGTTGGGTGAATCACACGACTTCGTTATGTCATATAGGTGTGCAGATACTCTGGGAACCTTACGGTACGTCCAGAACGGGTTTTCTTAGGAGGCTCGACAGAAGATTCGGTGACTTCATCGAGGTCTAAACGATCTTCGGTTACTTGTGGATTATGGGGTACGTTGAGCTGTATGCTAATAGGATTACCCTCCAAGTAAGCCGGTTTCAGACGTTCAATGCTGACGGTGTCCTCGCGGCCGTTTTCGTCCAAGACAAAGAATTTATCAGAACGTTTAATTACTTCATATGGTCCGTCGTATGGAGGTTCCAGCGGTCTGCACACAGAGTCGCGACGAACAAATACATGTGAAGAAGTTTTCAAACACGGATGAACGAAAACATCGATGGACTGTGGACGAAGGGGAGCAGGTTTAACTGAGCGCGTTGCGTTTGTAAGCCTGCTGACGTATGAAGCGTGATCTACCACTGGTGGGAAGCTCGAGGAAGAAACAAATTCACCAGGCAGTCGTAGTGTCGTGCCACATACTAGCTCGGCGCTAGTACAACCAGCATCGGTTTTCAAGGCGTTTCGTATCCCTAGGAGAACTAACGGAAGGGATTCAGTCCAATGGGTGTTGTTTGCAGCTGACAGATCAGCTTTCAGCTGTCTGTGTAGACGTTCAACCATACTATTAGCTTGAGGATGGTAGGCTTTTGTTCGAAAAAGCATGCAACCTATGATTTTAGTCAGGGCGGAGAATAAGCCACTTTCGAATTGCCGCCCGCGATCAGTTGTTATGGAACATGGGCATCCAAAGTTAGCGATCCATCTTTCTACGAAGACGCGTGCAACCGTTTCAGCAGATACGTCCTTGATGAGTACTGCTTCCGGCCATCGTGTGAACCGATCGATGCAAGTTAAAATATAGGTATATCCATGGGATTCAGGAAGGGGTCCAACCAAATCTATATGGACGTGTTCAAAACGAGCGTCCGGGAGAAGAAAGGTGCCAAGTGAGCTTTTGGTGTGTCTTAACACCTTGCAATTTTGACAAGCTAAGCACGTGTGTGCCCATTCCCTTTTTTACCTTCACGTTCCCAGTGGAACATTGGGCTTCAAGCCTCCAGCTTGAAGTTTCTGCAGCAGTGTCTATTTTTACAGGATGGGGTTGCTAGCATCATGCCCAACCTTTCCTCTTTAGCACCATTATTTCTGGCTTAGCGAGGTAAAGGAGTGCGTCGGCCAGGGATTGAACCCCGGACCATGCGCATGGTCGGCGAGCGTCATAACCGCTATGCCACCAACGCGTTTTTAAAAAAGGCCGCCCGATGCAGCGGAAGATTGATGCCTCCGGAGAAAGGGCAACAGGTGCCCTATCCAACCTTGTGCAGGGGACTGCCAACCAACTCTCCTTCTCTCACGCACGTCACAAATTAATTAATTATTAACGCCAGGCCAACAAAACCGACTAGTTACGAGCTTGGCACTAGTTCGAATACCTGGGTGAGATTAGCCATGCAACATACTGAAGACGTTACGGCGATAACTTTTAGGCATGATGGGGCGAAGAGTACTCGTGGAAATGTCTCATAGAATAATAACTCTTCCCATACCTAACGGTTTCTCAGCTAATTGTAGGGTTGTTTTCGACAACTCATGTTGAAGCTCGGTATCTTCTTTTCGAAGACGAGCCAGTTTTACAAGGTCGATTTGGGTGAGGGAACAAACGCGCGACAAGGCCTCTGCTACAGTGTTGTTTACTCCGGATACATGGCGAATATCTGATGTAAACTGTGAAACGTAATCCAGTTGTCGTGATTCCCTGGGTGAATACTTTTCTGAAGGTGAGTTCAGAGAGTACGTGAGGAGTTTGTGATCAATGAAAATTATGAATTCACGACCCTCTACTGAATATCGAAAATGACGTATAGCACAGTACATAGCCAGAAGTTCTCTGCCGAATGTGCTGTACTTGGTTTCAGCTAATTGAAGGCGCCGGGAGAAAAAGGCGAGTGGTTGCCACTCTGTAAACTAGCTGTTGTAGAACTGCGCCGATTGCAGTGTTTGATGCATCAACCGAGATACTTGACGGTGCCGTTGGATCCTGATCCATCAGAAGTGTGGCATTCGCAATGGCTTTTTTAATCTGGGTAAAAGCATTTCAAGCAAACGCGTCAAGTTCTATGGACTTGTTATTCCCTCGAAGGAGGTCTATCAATGGCTGAATCAAAGAGGCACAGTTGGGAATAAAGCGTCAATAATAACCTACCAAGCCATTAAAAGTGAGGAGACTTTTCGCCGTCTGTGGCTCTGGAAAGTTCAGTATAGCCTCGACCTTAGTAGCCAGTGGGCGAATGCTCTTGCAGTCGAGTGAGTCAACACCGATTTGACACTTTTGAATATTAATGGCAACACCATGTTGGCGCCATGAATCGCAAAAATCACAGCATTTCTCTCCTCATAGACAAAGGCAGGCTATGCACTAACTCTGCAGACATATGTGAACTATTCAACAAAACGTTTGCAGGTAACTACCTTAAGCCCTCAGTCCAGCTACTCGATATACACCCTATTACTAAAATGGCACAAACTCCAACTCCACTCACACCAAACCAAATTAGCACTGTTCAATTCACTTACGCTGATATTAACCAAACTATAAGAACCCTCAAAAGTTCAAAAGGTTTCGGTACCGACGGTATATCATCTTACTTCTATAAATATGGTGGCCCTGACATTCCTCTACTGCTGCTTAAAATATTCACAATGTCCCTAGAAACCCAAACTTACCCTGACATATGGAAGACTACATTCATTATGCCTAAACACAAATCTGGCTCGAAAACTGAAGTCAGTAACTACCGGCCAATCAATATCACACCTATAGCATCTAGAATCATGGAGAGACTAGTCAAAGATAACTTAATCAAACATATGCTTAGCTGCAACATCATAAGTCCGAACCAACATGGATTCCTGAAATCCAGATCATGTTTAACATGTCACCTAGACTTCTTCAATTTTGTAACCAGCAGTCGTGACAGACGGCAACTAGTACTTGTCATCTACTTTGACATTTCTAAGGCATTTGACCGTGTTGACCATTTACTGCTAACAAATAAACTGAACTCCTTAGGAATACGTGACCCATTATTAGGATGGCTTAAATCATTCCTTAACAATAGGTCCCAAATAGTTAAACTCGGGTCTGCAACCTCCAAACCTAGCCCTATCACTTCTGGTGTAGTACAAGGTAGTGTCATTGGACCCCTCCTATTTACACTATACATCAATGACATATGCGCTTGCTTCACGCACGGGAAACCATTCATCTTTGCAGATGACCTAAAAGTAGCTTATACATTCCAACGTGATGACTTAGGGAACTTCGAGAATGTAGTACAGAAGGAATTAGATAAAATGGCTGCTTGGTCGTCCCTATGGAATCTCCAATTTAATCTGAACAAATGTGGCTGGATCTGCTTCGGTGCACCCTCAATTGACCTGAAATTAACGCTCCAATCTGCTAACCTAACAAGACTCCGAAGTGTCGTTGACCTAGGCTTGAGGTACTCTAGTGACTTGACATTCTCAGAGCAAGTAGCATCACAGACTAGAAAATCGAGGATGCTCTTAGGATGCATACTCAGGAACTTTCACGACAATGAAGCCAAGCTAATTCTGTACAAAACATGTGTCAGACCACTACTAGAATACTGTCCATTTATTATAAGCAGCACTCGCACACGCGACAAGCTAAGGATGGAAAGTATCCAACGATATTTTACCTCAAAACTGCTTGGCTACGATTGTAAGAAAGACTACATCTCACGGTGCATGATCCTAAAACTCGACCCACTTTGGACAAGGCGACTTATTATAAACCTAATATTCTTCTTTAAGGTCCTTCACAAAATATCTTTCTCAGGTAACAGGGACATACAATTCGCACAGGAAGGTTCTTACGATCTGCGTAACCAAACTTCCACAGTGACAACTCATTCTTTTAGGTCAACACTCCGTGAAAACTTCTTCACAGTCATGTATTCTAAAATATGGAATAGCCTACCCCTAGATGTCAGAACTTGCTCTTCGGTTACAAGCTTCAAACGCTCTCTATACAGACTGTTTCACTCTACTGATTATATTAATAAACTATTTACTCCTAGAACGAATCAAGCACTAATCTACTACAGCACCTAAAAGACGCACTTCAACACCCTTAGCAATCTTTAAACTATAAATAAACTAGCAGCATGGATGCATAAAGACATAGTACGGAACATACAGGATTAGTTTACCCTTAGAAATAGGACCTATCCCTCATTGTAACCTTCAAACGCTTGCTATATAAACTGTTTTGTCCAAATGACTATCCCTACCAGAACCCATCACTTATTTCTAAAACGCATCAGTCATTAGAACACTAAAACGCTCAGACTCATTAATACACATTATGACATTAAATAAACTCTAAGACTTCGCATAAATACGTGAAAACAAATACAATATAGAAAAATGTTTACTTAAGTATAATATACAATTAAGATAAACATTTATAAATGCATAATATATAAATGTCCTTTTCATGTTCACATACTTTCTCTTTCTGGTATTTTGCTGCTCCTATTCATCTTCTGGTCGAGGTCGAACAACCCTGCATCTAAACTGAAATGAGGATTAATTCCAAACCGTCTATCTCATAACCACTCAAATTCCATGAACGATCCAATTCTACCATTTGAAGACGCTGGCGAACATGCTGTAAATGAGTATTCATGATCTGAAATGAAGAAGCAACTGGTTTTCAAACAGTTTTCAACATTTTACTCAACTTACGAATACAGTCCGCCATGCAGACACAAATTGTAATCCCACTCGTCAAGCAATGATCTGAAACAGAGAGCAAAGCGCACGTTAGCAGCGTGATCACACAAGTGTTGCGTGCTAGTAAGAACGAAGACTCAAGGTCAAGTATTATATTTACAACCAATCGCAATACAATTAGATAAGAGGGAAGGGCACTCCTATTGGTCATCCGTTGCCTCGTCTTGGGTAACCAATCCCTGCATACTTCGCAGCCAACCTGAAAGTAGACAAGCATGGTTTGAACATTAGAAAACCGCCAAACTTACCATGCCTTACACTACCCCCTCTCCCATAGGAGCACTGTCCGCAGTGCTAGGTGACTGTTCCTGCGGGACTTGTCTGAACTAAGGCCTGTTGTCGAAAAGGTTTTAGTCTATTGAAGTGTGTGACTAGACTATGAGAGGAATTCGGTTCCTGAATCCTACAGGTGCAGTCACTTAGTACCTCTACTACAGTGAATGGTCCTTCCCAGCGTTTATGGAATTTAAGAGCTTTCCCTTTAGGTGGTGCCTCCTTAAGTAGCATCACCTTGTCTCCTGGCTCCACTGGTGATCCATGTGCTTTCCTATCATAGTATTCTTTCTGGTACCTCTGGTTTGTTTGGAGTATATCCCTAGTCATCTGATGTACCTTGTTCAAGTTTCGTCGAAGTCTGATTACGTGTTCGGATGCAATCAGTGTATCCTCTCCTAGTGTGTTTGAAGTCAGATCGATTGGCAACCGGAGTTCTCTTCCAGTGACCATATAATGAGGCGTTTGACGCGTAGCTTTGTGAATGCTTGCTCTGTATGCCATTAAGCACTGTGAGAGTGATCGGTCCCATTCCCTGGGGTTGTTTTGATCTACAAATGCCTGCAAGAGGGATTTAAGTGTCCGATTGGTGCGTTCAACCAAGCCATTTCCCTGTGGGTGGTACGCGGTAGTGCGTGTCTTCCGGATACCCATTATACGACAGAGTTCGCTGACAACGATACTTTCAAAGTTGGATCCTCGATCTGAATGCAGTTGAAGTGGTGCCCCCCAACGGCTGACCCAGTGGTCAAAAATTGACTCTGCGATGGTTACAGCATCAATCTGTGGTATCGCAATAGCCTCGCACCATTTGGTAAAATGGTCTACCATGACTAAAATATAGTTATTATTTCTGGAAGTTACTGGGAGAGGTCCAACCAAGTCTATTTGTACTAAGTCATTCGGATGGCCAGTTATAATGGGTTCTAAGGGTGCCTTATTATATTTGTGCGGAGCCTTAATAGTTTGGCATACCTCGCAGGAGTCACAGAAATCTATGATGTCTTTCCTCTGGTGAGGCCACCAATAACGTCTTTTAGCCGCTTCAATCATTTTCCCTGAGCCCGCGTGGCCTAACTGCTGGTGTAATGACAATAGTACTGTGGGTAGTGCCGACTGTGGAGCCACAACGCGACGAGTATAAGTGGGTCCATGTTGGTAGTAGAGGATGTCATCGACAATTTTCAGATTATCCCACAGAGACCATAAACACCGGGTTTCCCATCCAAGCTTACTTATTTCCTGGGTTGTCGGTCGTTCGCCTCCATTTCGAACACGTTCGTAAATCAAGGCCAGTTCAGGGTCTGAAGACTGAAGTTCAGGCCAACTATATGAAGTATGAGCCTCTAGTTGGAGCAGCGAAACTTGTGCTTCGGTGCATGATGGGCAGTCACCGTGATACCTAAGAGGTTTTCTTGACAATGCATCTGCATTTCCATGATTCTTACCCGGTCTATGCATGCATTCGAAGTCATACTCTTGTAGGTGTTCTTGCCATCTGGCAATCTGACCCTCAGCTTCTTTGAAGTTATGTAGCCAGCTAAGGGCTTTGTGATCAGTGCGTACAATGAAATGTCTACCGAGGAGATATGCCCTAAAGTGTTTAACAAAATTGACCAGTGCCAGCATTTCTTTCCGCGTGGTGCAGTAATTCTTCTCACTCTTGTTGAGTGCTCGACTTGCATAGGCTATCACCTTTTCTACTCCATCTGCGTCTTTTTGAGACAAAACTGCCCCGATACCAGAGTCGCTAGCATCTGTATCTAGGATGAATGGACCTGCCTGGTCAGAAACATTGGGATACGCTAGGATAGGGGGGCTACATAAACAGTTTTTTAGTCTTTCGAAGGCTTCCGTAGCTGATGCTGTCCAATTGTAGTCTTTCTTCTTGAGAATGTCGAATAGAGGAGCTGCAAGGAAAGAGAAGTTAAGTACAAAACGTCGATAATACGAGGCTAACCCTAAAAAACTATGTAACTCGGGGGCTGAGTTTGGGAGCGGCCAGTCTTTAACTTCCTGAACTTTTGCTGGATCACATTTAATGCCTTCGGCTGAAACAATGTGACCTAAGAAACACACTTCTTTCCTGAAGAATTGACATTTCGATGGGTTCAGTTTTAACCCAACGGTCTGCATCCGTTCTAATACTTCGGAAATATCACTTAAATGTTCGGTCAACGTCTTACTATGTATGATAACATCATCTAGATATACCAAACACTTACCTGGTATGCAATCACTCAAGACCGTTTGCATGAGGCGTTGGAATGTTGCTGGGGCATTGACTAACCCAAACGGCATTGTTTCAAACTCATACAGGCCTGCTTGTACAATGAATGCTGTCTTTTGCCTGTCATCTGGGTGTACTTCAACCTGCCAATATCCCGATGCCAGATCTAGAGTGGTAAACCAATTCGACCATTCTAAGGCATCAAAAGTGTCGTCTATGCGTGGAAGGGGAAAGCACCCTTAGAACCCATTATAACTGGCCATCCGAATGACTTAGTACAAATAGACTTGGTTGGACCTCTCCCAGTAACTTCCAGAAATAATAACTATATTTTAGTCATGGTAGACCATTTTACCAAATGGTGCGAGGCTATTGCGATACCACAGATTGATGCTGTAACCATCGCAGAGTCAATTTTTCAGGAAAGAAGTGTGTTTCTTAGGTCACATTGTTTCAGCCGAAGGCATTAAATGTGATCCAGCAAAAGTTCAGGAAGTTAAAGACTGGCCGCTCCCAAACTCAGCCCCCGAGTTACATAGTTTTTTCGTTGGCAGGATCGCCATTTATGTAATCCCACTCGTCAAGCAATGATCTGAAACAGAGAGCAAAGCGCACGTTAGCAGCGTGATCACACAAGTGTTGCGTGCTAGTAAGAACGAAGACTCAAGGTCAAGTATTATATTTACAACCAATCGCAATACAATTAGATAAGAGGGAAGGGGCACTGCTATTGGTCATCCGTTGCCTCGTCTTGGGTAACCAATCCCTGCATACTTCGCAGCCAACCTGAAAGTAGACAAGCATGGTTTGAACATTGGAAAACCGCCAAACTTACCATGCCTTACAAAATGGAGCAAATGGAGAATTCTGGAATCGACCTCGGCACCGCTTGATGCAGTAAAACAACCCAAAATGACCTTATCTAGTTTTCGTATCCACGATCAGATTTCTTTCCTGTTATGAAACTACGATAAGACTGCTGAAAAAATGGAATAAATATATCACTGATCTCAACATAATACATCAATAATCTTTAAGCCAAAGGTGCTGTTCACAACAAAGTTATATAGGAGAATTGACTTCAAGCTTTATTTTTCCCAGATATTTGTATTACATTCATCTGATGTCTGGGTTTTTTGTTAATGCGAAGACAATATTTCTATATCTCTTTATGTGCTACACAAACAAACTTTATAGCAGACTGTTCCGACTGACTTTGATGTCAGAGAGAACAACCAAACTGTAAATCCATTATACATCAAATTTTGTGTAATTTATATAATAACTTATCCATGCCTGTACAATTGGTATGTTCCTGCATAAACAGGAAGAAATATATATTATTATTATTACCCGTTCAAATGCCAAGTCCAAGTGCCTAAGGTGAGTTTCCTTGTCTGGACTGGCAATGAGGCAGTCGTCTAAGTATGCGTATACAAAGTCGAGACCGCGAAATACTTCATCAATGAAGCGTTGGAATGTTTGGGCTGCATTCCGAAGACCGAATGGCATACGTAGAAATTCAAAACGTCTGAAAGGCGTAATGATAGCCGTTTTCGGGATATCTTCTGTTGCCATCGGGATTTGGTTATACGCTTTAACAAAGTCGATTTTAGAGACTATAGTCGCGCCAGATAAGGTTGCCGTTAAGTTGCGTATATGAGGCAACGGGTAGCAATCAGGGGTTGTTTTGGCATTCACTCTACGGTAATCATCGGTGGGTTGCCAATCATTGCTATCCTTTTTCGGAACCAAATGAAGTGGGGATGCCCATGGGCTATTCGAAGGTCGAATGATGTCAAGGGTAAGCATATGGTCAAATTCATTCCTGGCGATTCTCAGTTTGTCAGGAGCTAGTCGTGGTACTTTAGATGTCACGGGTTGTTCTGTGGTAATGATGTGGTGCATAACATTGCTGGTTATGCCCGGCAGGTCGTTAGACGGGCAATTAAGTTCAGGATATTTGTCAACCATAGGTTGAAAAGTTGGATCAAAAATTGCCTTTATCTTAACGGGTGACAAACTAGGGCCTATGTAGCTGATGCCTTTGATAGACAGACTAGTAGTATTGTCAATCAGTCGTCTTCGGCGGACGTCCACGAGTAAATCATGATGATTAAGTAGGTCCGTGCCGATGATGGGCATTGTGACGTCAGCGAGAAGGAAAATCCATCGAATAGGTTTGCGTAAACCTACGTTCAGATAGACGTATTTTCTACCAAAGGTTGCGATTGGTTTTCCATCTGCAAGCTGTAAGTTGAAGGTAGATTCCTTCTGTCGATCTGCTGCCGTAGCAGGAAGGACGCTGACTTCGGCGCCTGTGTCGACTAAGTATCGAGTCTGGCTTATCACATCATGGATGTAAATTAGGCTGCTAGTGCCACCGGCGACGGTTGCCGCTAACGCGTACCGGCGGGATAGTTTCCCACAGACTTTGAGACATTTCCGAGGTTACAAGGCTTACGGCAACACTTCGCTTCTTGGCCATAGTTGTTGTGGTACCAGCACCAGTCAGGGTTTTTCAGAGAACGTGGTTTGGACTTAGATTGACTACGTGAGCTCCTGCGTCGAGGAGATTTAGGACGACGGTCGGAGGAGTTAGAATGCACGCTTGACCTAAACATCTGCTGGATGGAGTTGCATAACTCTATCATTGCAGTATCCTTACCCGAAGTCTGCTTCATCATCGAGCATATCTCGGGAACTGACCAGATGATAAACATTTCTACACGGGACAGTAATATTAGTTCACACATAATATAAAAGCATAACGGGACTAGTTAGTTAGTGAACAAAAATTATCATAGTTACTAGACAGAATATATATGTATATATCTATTAATCACTCCTTATAGACTCCTCTTGCTTTCTTTTGCTTTGCTGTTGTTTGTCTTCTTTTTTCTCTCACCATTTTAGCTTTCATATCACTTTTTGAATGAGAATGAATAATGTGGATGTTTGACCATTTACAATGATAAATGATCTGCAAACATTATTGGTCCCGTATCTTTCAGTTGCCTAGTTAATAACGAGTTAACTTTCCCCACGACGCAACCTGGATTACATTTGTGGAATATACTCTTATACCAATAGAAAAGTATCAATTTGTAATACAACGTCACGACTGTAACTTATAACATAACTGATCGTATCTGTAAAAATAGCTTTCTTATTACCCAATTTGGACATAAATCAAAAATGAGATTCGGATTTGTGCACACCCAAGTTATATTGTGGAATTACTTCAAGCTTTATTTTTTCCCAAGTATTTGTAATCCATCCAAAACATACTTGGGTTTTTTGTTAATGCGAAGACAATATTTCTATATTTCTTGATGTGCTCCATTGAATGACTAGTTATCATATTGTTCCCACAAACCAAAGACTAAAACGAGAGCAACCATGTAATTTAACCATAAACCAAATTTATAAAATTTAAATAATGCTTACCCATGCCTGTACATTTGGTGTGTCCTACACAGGTGGGAAAAAAATGTATTTTATTAAATCATTATTATTAAGTATGCTTACTAAAAGTATATGTAATTTATCATAATGATGATGACTGTAAACTGGCGTCCCTCATGTACAAAATGAGAATATACTATTATTATTATTA